GCATAGAGATTTTTCTGAACCGTCCTGTGCACTTGGATCGGTCCCTCACGAGAACGCCGGCTTCCAGGCACTGCTGTGATTATTGCATATTTAAAAGTCCCGCCAAACACACGATCTACGCGTTTCGCTCGTTAGACCGAGCTTTTTCAAGATGAAGTGTATTGTGGGACAGTGGGTGTATATAAACACCTTTCAATCAAACAGTCAACCAGTCAATTGGTGCATATAAATATCCTCTAATTGCATAATTACAATCAATTTGTCGTCTTTTTAGTAGTTTATAAACACCTTCCTTTGTAGTTCTCTTATATACATAGATGCATATGAGCTAAAACATGAATCCTAGATCAATTAATTACATATACAGACACAATTAACTGTTTGTTTCATTTACAGCAGACTGTCTCTTAACATTCAATGGGACCTATCCGCTTAAGTCTGCATCGCACTGAGACAAGTTCTCTCCAGTGCATTTGGTTTACTCACTAGATATTAGAAATACTTTGTATATCGTATATGACATATGCCTAAAATGTATATACACTTATAGTCAACTATTAAGATTAGGAACAGGCTGACCCTTCACCTCTCATAGGATTCATGCATTTACATCTGCTCCACGGAAGGGCTACACACCTCCTGTCTTGCATCACATACTACCTGGACGTTAAGTCAGATTATTCCACCTTTTTTCTTCTGAATATAAAAACATCTACAAAAACCTTGATAATTACCAAACTTTATAGTAATCATAAACTGTGCAAAAATGCATGTTGTTCTCGGATCTAACAGCTGATCCACATGCATACACACATACACACAATTTTTTCTGGTATAAAGAGGATATCTTCCTGCAGATAAATGGAACGACTATGGGGACTAGGTTTGCACCCAGCTATGCCAATATTTTTATGGCTTATTGGGAAGACCTTTTTATTTGACAGGGGCATCGCTGGGTAGCAAATCTAGTCCTATACAGACGGTATATAGATGACTGTTTCTTCATTTGGGATGGTCCGGAAGCAGATTTGTTAGAATTTTTAGGATATCTCAATCAAAATGATTTCAATTTGTCTTTCACACATTCACATAGTGAAATACAGGTGGAGTTCTTAGATTTGGTTCTATATGTAGAAAATAACATTCTAAAATCTAAGACTTTCTTTAAACCTGTGGATGTCAATAGCTTCATCTTGACATCTAGTTGTCATTATCCCTCTTGGCTACAGGGGGTTCCCTATAGCCAATTTTTGAGAATTAAAAAGAACTGCACAGAGGAAGATGTATGTATGGAACAACTGAAGAAAGTTAAAACGCAATTTATAGAGAAGAATTACGGTCTAGATTTACTAAATAGAGCATCAGAGAAAGTATTGAGTAAGACAAGGATGGAGATTTTGGCACCAAAGGAGAAGTGTGAGGACGAAAATAATGAGAAGTTTTTTTGCTCCCTTGCCCCCTTATTTTTGATTTTAATGCTCAGACAAATTAGGAAAGCGGTCCTGAAAAATTGGGATCTGTTAAAACAAGACCCACTATTAACTTCTATACTACCAACAAAACCCAAAATTATTTTTAGGGGGGCACCAACCTTGAAAGATAAATTGGTACGTAGCCATGTTAGGCCATCCCCTGAAAAACATTTTTTAAATTCACAGATGGGTTTTTATAAATGTGGGACATGTAGAATTTGTAAATTAATTGGTTCACCCTTTGGGGCCATTTTTGAATTTACATCCACAGTAATGAAAAAGACATATAACCTGCAATTCAAAACAGGTGATCTATTTATTGAGCTGCACGTGCGGTTTACAATATGTGGGGCAAACTAAACGAATGTTAAAAATAAGTTTAGGGGAACATGTATACAATATTAATAGGAAATTTGAGAAACATTCACTATCAGAACATTTTAAAACTCATCATAATAATAATCCAGGGTCTTTATCGTATTGTGGAATCCAGAACATTAAAATCCCCTGGAGAGGGGGGGACCTTGTAAAGAATTTGCTACATAGGGAAATGTACTGGATCTATACATTAAAAACTTTGGCCCCTTTGGGACTTAATGCGGAATTGGAAATGTCACATATTTTATAGAGGAATATGATATATATTTTTCTAGTAATAGCTTCCAGTAAGACTATGGACTATTTATTATTTATTTTTATAAAGAAAATTTGTATTGTTTTTTTATATTTTTTTAAAAAACAAACACAATTTTTTATTGTTTCTTATAACTATATTGTCCAACGTGATATAATTGGAGAATTGATTATGCATGTGGATCAGCTGTTAGATCCGAGAACAACATGCATTTTTGCACAGTTTATGATTACTATAAATTTTGGTAATTATCAAGGTTTTTGTAGATGTTTTTTATATTCAGAAGAAAAAAGGTGGAATAATCTGACTTAACGTCCAGGTAGTATGTGATGCAAGACAGGAGGTGTGTAGCCCTTCCGTGGAGCAGATGTAAATGCATGAATCCTATGAGAGGTGAAGGGTCAGCCTGTTCCTAATCTTAATAGTTGACTATGAGTGTATATACATTTTAGGCATATGTCATATACGATATACAAAGTATTTCTAATATCTAGTGAGTAAACCAAATGCACTGGAGAGAACTTGTCTCAGTGCGATGCAGACTTAAGCGGATAGGTCCCATTGAATGTTAAGAGACAGTCTGCTGTAAATGAAACAAACAGTTAATTGTGTCTGTTTATGTAATTAATTGATCTAGGATTCAGGTTTTAGCTCATATGCATCTATGTGTATAAGAGAACTACAAAGGAAGGTGTTTATAAACTACTAAAAAGACGGCAAATTGATTGTAATTATGCAGTTAGAGGATATTTATATGCACCAATTGACTGGTTGACTGTTTGATTGAAAGGTGTTTATATACAACCACTGTCCCACAATACACTTCATCTTGAAAAAGCTCGGTCTAATGAGTGAAACGCGTAGATCGTGTGTTTGGCGGGACTTTTAAATCTGCAATAATCACAGCAGTGCCTGGGACCGATCCAAGTGCACAGGACGGTTCAGAAAGATCTGTATGCACGGAGCGACAGCAAGTAACTCTTCCATTTAACACTCTGTGTGAATTGTGCTTTATTGTGAAACTCAGAGATAAGCTTCACAACATTATATTGTTAGAGTTTTTCCTATGGGGGGTTTTTCACTTGGGCAATAAAATTGTAACAGTATTACGCTATGTCAGTATCTTTTTTATTTTAAGGTTTGGATACATATAAAGACACAGATTTTACATATATGCTACTGTTGCAGCAACTAATCCCTGTGAATTGCTTGGAAGTACCCTCAATTAAGACTGAAATTGGAACTCTTTGATGGACAAGACATTTTTGGGTTGAACCCTGTGTTTATTACATAGGGGTATGTTCACTTAGCACTGATACTAATTTTGTTTTTATTTTGTGTCTTATAAGATATTTTAAAAACTTGGGAAGTTTTTTTTATTGTATTTAGCAGCTTTCCAATTTTATTTTCTTGTGGAACACTAAGTTTGGGGCACTGTCCTAGAAATTCCACTGTATTATTTTTGACGTGCGCTCTCTATACTGTGTTTTTTGTATCTTTAGACCCTTATTGGCTAATAAAGGAGTTAATGCCCTCAGTGGCTTAACTCCTTTGTGGCCAGGTGTCATAGTATCTCCAGGCCTTTTTGAACATTTTAGGGGACAAGAGACTAGGCCTTTTTTCTTGCCGTTTAATGGAACGTCGATGCTCCAGTCAGAATACTTTAATAACTAGCTTTACAGCAATGTTACACTAATGTGAAAATAATTTTTGGCTTAGCTGACAAATATTTTGCCGTGTTGGTCCCTAGTGAATGTGTTTTCTCAAATTTTTTTTCAATTTTTTAATTTTATTATGAAAGTGCATGACATGAAATCCTGTAGCCCAGCAGTGATTTTGAAGCAGTATACGTGTTGTAGAAGTACCTCAGCAAAACATAAATTCAGTAGTCGAATGGGTTAAAATTGAATACATCTTTGAGCATAGGGATAGACAACTATTGTGTTCAAAGGAGCTGTCAAACGCTTTGTTCATTTCTTAGTATTCATTCAAATTCAAAATTGCTTCCGTTTATGACAGATAAAATCACCCTGACAGAACATCATGCACAGTCTTACATGCTTCAACTTTTACAAAATAAAATGGTAAATGTCTCTTTCAATTTCACTGTTTAAGGATTTTATATTTAAATGAGCAAGTGTGGCTCGCTGATTTATTTTTATACATGCTTGACAATGTAAATGTCACTTATGACTTCCTGTCCGAGGGTGATTTAATGTGGCCATTTAAACTACTTAGGCAGTGCTCATTTAGTATGTTAATGAAGCTTATGTCCCTACCCTTTTATTTTTTATATATATGTATACATATATATATATATATATATATATATACACACACCCTTCTACCCCTCCCAGTCTTTTTTGTTACTGTTCTATTCCTATAGACATTCCTAGACTTAAGAGCCATACTCCACTCTTACCTCCAGATCTGCTACTTTTCCACCTTGTTTGGTGGCTGTCACCCTTGCCGCCATGTTGTGTATTTGTACCACACCTCCTCTAGACTGCGAGCTCATTTGAGCAGGGTTCTCATCTATAGTCCCTATTGTTCCTGTATCACTGTGTAATTGTCTATTTTTTGTAAATTTACCCCCTTTCATAATATTGTAAAGCATTGCGGAATTAGTTGGCACTATATAAATACCAATAATAATAATAATAATAATAGTCTAAAATTACTAAATGTTTTGTTTTTGGCTTACCTAATGGTTGTTACCCTTTGCCCCAAGGGAGTTCACCCTCTCTTCTTTTGGAATCTTTAGAATACAGCCCAGTACAAAGGTGTCCCTCTGAAGAACCCACCTTAACCTGCAATGACCCTAGGGGTAGCAAGCATTGTATGCCATTACCCCTGCTTCTGCAGTGACCCTAGGGGTAGCAGGTTTGGGCAAGAAAATATAACCCCCTTCTACCTATAGTTTTACTTCATTTTTATAAAAGGAGTTTTAAGTTTAAATTTATGTTATATTTAAAAACTCCTTTTATACAAATGAAGTAAAACGATGGGTAGAAGGGGGTTGTGTGTATATATATATATATATATATATATATATATATATATTTCTTCCTGAGTTGTGTTTACAAGCTGTTGTGTACAGCAGACATCGCCTCCAAAGAATCCATGTATAAAGTGAAATTTATGAGGTAAAAAGTGTTTTTTTTGTTGAACTCATTTGCATATGTCCACCCAGAATTTCTTGCAGTAGTAACAGGACTTCAAATATGAGATTTCTGCAGGAAAAGCAAGTCTTATGGCTTGAGTGTTGTGTGCAGAATAGTGTTTAATGATTTATTCACTATCTACTGACTATCAGGTGAAAATGGTTTTCAGTCACCAATTACCCTACTTCAAATCTATTGGTTTGTGCTCCAAAAAATAAATATATATACAGTATATACATACACACTCCTGGGGAAAAAGAAAATACACCCTCTTTGAATTCTATGGTTTTATATATCATGACTTAATAACAATCATCTGTGCTTTAGGATTGGTTCTCCACAGACTCAACAAATACATACGCAATGGTTGATGTCAATAGACTTGCAGAATGTGTATTTTCATGTTCCCATTGCCCCACAGCATCAATGGTTCCTCAAATTTGCAGTAGAAGAAGGGGATTTTCAATTCAGAGACCTTCCTTTTGGTCTTAGAACTGCTCCTTGGACAGTCTCCAAAGTTCTAGTGGTCCTGATAGCAGAACTAAGAAAAAAGGGCATAGCTATCTACTACTATCTAGACAATATCACTGTCCTGGCAAACAACAAAAGCACTTTGATAGACTATGGTCGGCTTTGCATTCAGTTCCTTCAACAATGCGGATTAAATATCAGTGCCTCCAAGAGTCATCTATCTCCCTCTCAGTCCACGTTATATCTGTGAGACATTTTAAAAAATATATATTTTTTTAATATTGACAAGAGACCATGTAAGAGACATGGTTTTGACATGAGACAAATAAATAGTCACTTTGTGTATGACAGATTTTACATTCTAAGCCCTAAATAATTTTCAACATATACTTGTACATACATGGGTGAAGGTCAGAGTGGACAATGCAACTTTTGTGGCATATATCAATCATCGAGGAGGAATGCAATGTCACAGAATGATGAGACTGATAAAAACTTCTCATATCTTTGGCACACCAGTACATTTTGAGTCTGGTAGCTATTAATCTTCTAGGAATATAGAGGTTGGTGGATTTTCTCAGCTGGGTAAAAATAGATCCATGGGAATGGTGCCTATAGGACAAAGTCTTCCAGATGATAGTGGAAAGATGAGGCATTCTTCAAGTGGATTTAATGGCAACGTGCAGCACCAGAAAGGTCAACAGGTTCTTCTTGATGAATCTTTATCCTCAGGTTCTAGAAAGAGATGCCCATTTGTGCAGGTGGCAATTTAACCTGGGATATGCATTTCCGCTCACTCCCCTTGCCCCTTCTGAGAAGGCCAGGGCAAGAACTAATATCCATCATTCTAACAGTTCCACATTGGCTTCGCAGACCATGGTTTTCCCTTCTTCTGAGCTTCTGCATGGGACCTCCATGGGATCTCACAAGAATTCCATCTCTTCTCCATCAAAGTACTTTGCTTCATCCAGACCCACTTTCTCTAAACCTGAAGGCATGGAGGCTGAAAGAGAAATGCTAAAAATAAAGCATTCTCGGCAGTTATCGATACACTTTTGCAAGCCAGAAAGCATTCCTCTTCAGCCATGTATTACAGAGTATGGGATGCTTTCTTTTCCTGGCTATACCTAGGCAAGTAGAGATTATGAATATCTCTTTCAAGGATATTCTGGAGTTACAATACTTGGAAGGTCCATGTCTCAGTGCTCTTGGTCAACCTGTTTATTAGACATTAAGAGTTGGATGTCAATGAGGAAGTTTGATAATTTTTTTGCAAAAGTTTTCACTCTGTATTTAATTTATAATTATGTTCCTTTTTTTTTTAGTAATTAGTGTGTCATCTTTGATTGCATTAATACACTTGAATTCAGTAATTTGACGTCTGTGTGTTTAATTTCCCTCCCTTGGTTATTGCTTGGGTATAACCCATTATTATGCTTTTATGGATATGGCCAAAAAAGGAGAAAGCATATTTCTATTTACTGTTATTTTCTTTTCCTGGTCGCAAGCCACGGCAGCACAAGAATCCTGCCCAGACATATTTCTGGAAACAAGACTGAGAGTAGGCATGGTAAGAGGGAGTCTTTATAACTTTTCTTTTCATTAGGTTCCTGTCTAATTACGGATAGGGAGGAGCTACACATTGTTGTACTGCCATGGCCTATGACCAGGAAAAGAAAATTATGGCAAGTAGAAATAAATTTTATCATAGATATATATATGTAAGTCCACTTACATACTGATTTAATGTGCCCCTGCTGTGAATTTAATGTTAATTACAATGTCCAGTAATGTTAAATCAGCAATCCATTTGAGAGAAATAATAATAATAATTATAGGCTTTTAATTTAATATTTTTGGATAAGCTTCTACATTGTATTTTTTTTTCAAAATATACAAAGATCAAAAATATAACAATAGATCAAAATAATAAAATATTACAATATTTTTCAAAGTATTAAATCATGTTAAAACATTATCCAAAAATATGAAATTGCGGCTATATTTAGGAATACTTTTTCCAGGACATTATATTTTATATCTTTTCTTGGACGTTTCAAGTTTTCAGCGATGTGCTAAATGTATAACTAATTATTTGCATTCTATTCATTATACGTATTAGCTCTTGGATACTCACATTGTATTTTATAGTGTATTTTGTTTATGTTTTTAAGGTTTTGGTGAATCCTGTTCGGTCTTATTCCCTCTTTTTTCTGAATATTCATTTCTGAATATCAGAATATCTACATTATATATTTAGGAATACCTCTATATATAAAATATCCAAAATAAAATAACCAAAGTAATCCCCAAATGTTTAAATGAGAGGAACCCAATCAGTGTGGGAACATAAAGCAAGGTACAAAGCTACACCCTACCGTGTAATGATGCTGATCTATAGAAAACTACAAAAATATCAATATAATTATTTTATCCCTGTTACACTTACCATTTTGAAACTTAAAATCTGATAGTCAACAATGTTGGTAATTTAATATTGTAAATATAAATGAAATCAACAAGCAATCAACTAGTCAGTTTTGCAGAACAGAATACATAGAGGTATTTGATCCTGATCTAAAATAAAATGTAAATAACAAATTCACATATATCTTAAGTGGAGACATACAAATTTAACTTACGGAGTGATTTAGTAGAAGCTTTGCAAAACATCCAAAACCAGCTATTTTGTAATTTCACTAGGGAATTATATTTTCTATGTTATGAAATTACATCATATATGATTTGTGGATGTTGTCATAGATATCTGCACAAAGAAGACTTTATAAAATTATGGAAAGAAGTGTAATGCAGACATAACATTCACTATCCATCTATCTAGTTTTATAAAGTCTATTTCTCCAGACACATGCCAATAATAGGACAGAATTATCATGTGCTTTTGTGTAAATCTGTTAATTTCAATCCATATAGCATACCAGATTTTGTGAATAGTTATTCATTTAGAACAAAAATAAAGCAACCTGCTGAATGACTTTAGTTTATCTTATCAACCTTTCGTGTCTCTTATTCTTCCTTAAGTGTCCCTTGCACTCCACCTTGTGTCTCTAGCACACTCTGTTTCTCTTACCAATGTGTGTCTTACACCACCTTGGGTCTCCTGCACCCCCTGTTTTCCTCAACCCCCTTGCATCACTTGCATGCCATGATGTTTCTTGTGTTTTCCCTCACAACCCTCACATGCGTCTCTTACCCCACCCACAGTTTCCCTCACAGTGCTAACTTGTGTCTCTTTCCTCATGCTGTGACATGTCATTTCTAACTTCGGTAGCTCCCAGCAAGCAGCTTCCAGTCAGACTTGTTAAGGATAACGGATATCCTCTACCGTGGTCCTTGAGGCCATGCTACACGGAGTGAGTGGTGGGATGGGTCTACCTGGACATTGCACTGGTTGACACTCAAAATACAGCACACATAGTTTTTTACCTTAGATTTTGTGTTAAAAAACTGCATCCTGCATTTAAAAAAAAAATATTGTACGAAATATAATAATATGCCACGCTGCATAAATCTTTAAATAATTTATTATATACAGAGAACTAACCAAATTGTAATTTTCAGCATGGATGAACAATCATACTGTAGAATAGTTCCAGTATAATATTACATTACTTGTATATTTACTTTTTTAAGTATTACCTTTAGTATTGTGCAATCTGATATGCCCTCAAAGTGTACCTATTCTGACTTTAGTTCCAAATTCATCTGTCACACTTTTCTAAATTAATGTCCCTCTTGTCTGGGAATGACAACTTGTTGGTTTCTATGAATGTTTAACAGAGCTTAAGGTAAACAATAACCAGCATTTCAACTGCAAATTCTATGTTTTCAAATTAGTATATGTAAATGGTTCTTCCTTTTAAAATCTATGTTACATAAATGGACTAGGCCAGACCACCTTTCCCACCAGTTAAAATTACCTTATTAAACATTTCTAATTCTGTATAGTATGATTTGATGTTTTTTTTTTTCCAAAAAAGACCCATAAGATTAGCTACTAAAGGAAGAATTTGCAGTAGGAAATTGAATCAACAGTTAGAGCAATTTGAAGTAATTGGGAGTCTTTAGGTCAGATGAGATTCAGTAAAGTTAAAATCGTTTGACGTGAAGAAGCCACAACTCCATACTGATCCAACTTGATCCATACATGATTTTCTCTTAATTAGCTCTGAATTGGAATTGAAAGCCTTAAATTAGCATCAAGTTGGGGATGATTTTACATAGTTACATATTTTATGTTTATATATACGTATAATTACAATAGTAAATAAATAAAATAACAAAATAAAAAAACAAAATATTTTTTAAAAAAATAAATAAATTATATATACATATGTAATCTCATTCTAACTGTATTTTGTTATTAATACATATATATTGGTAACAAAATACACATAGAATGAGATTCTATATATATCTATCTATATATAAAATACAAATAACTGCAAATATTTATATAAAGATAAATATATATAATTACATAAATAACTACATAAGTATACACGTAGAATTTAAATACATATATATGTATATATATAAAAATTCTACGTGTATGCTTAAGTAATATTTTAAAATAATTATGTGATTTAATTAATTAAAATTTGATTGACGTGCCTGACAACCCAGGCAGCAAGTGCAGAGAATTAAATTTGCATGCGCTATATTTAACCCTGTAACTTTCCAAGACACCATAAAACCTGTACATGGGGGGTACTGTTGTACTCGGGAGACTTTGCTGAACACAAATATTAGTGTTTCAAAATGATAAATTGTATTACAACGATGATATATTTAGTAAAAGTTTTTTGCATTTTTCACACTAGAACGGCACTTTTACAGACGACATTATTGTTGTAATACAATTTATCATTTTGAAACACTAATATTTGTGTTCAGCGAAGTCTCCCAAGTATAACAGTACCCCCTATGTACAGGTTTTATGGTGTTTTGGAAACTTAGAGAGTCACATATAAGGCTTGCATTTCATTTTTTTCTCATTGAAATTTGCCAGATTGGTTACGTTGATCTGAGACCGTATTGTAGCCCAGGAATGAGAATTACCCCCATGGTGGCATAGCATTTGAAAAAGTAGACAACCTAAGGTATTGCAAATGGGGTATGTCCAGTCATTTTTAGTAGCCACTTTTTAGTCACAAACACTGGCCAAATATTAGTTTTTTTGCTTTTTTCACACAAACACAAATATGAAAGCTAACTTTGGCTAGTGTTTGTGACTAAGTGGCTACTATAAAAGACTGGACATACCCCACTTGCAATAACTTGAGTTGTCTACTTTTGCAAATGGTATGCCATCATGGGGGTAAATCTCATTCCTGGGCTACCACACGGTCTCAAAGGCAACATAACCAACCTGGCGAATTTCAATTTGAAAAAACTGAAAAATGGAATGTGCTATATTTGACCCTTTAACTTTCCAAAACACCTTAAAAACTGTAAATGGGGGGTACTGTTGTACTCGTGAGACTTTGCTGAATCCAAATATGTGTTTTTTTGCCGTTAAAGGTAACGGTATTATGATATTTACAGCTAAAATGTCTACAAATTTTTTTAAAAATCTTAATTTCTCACAGTTTTTTTTTATTTTATTCATAATAAATTATGTTTCAAATATGAATAGTTCATGAATAGCCTAGTTTCTCCTGAACAAAATGATATATAATAAGTGTGGGTGCACTTAATATGAAAGGTGAATTACGGTTGAACAGACATATAGCGCAAATACCAGTTTTTGTTTACATTTTGTTTTGATCAGAACGTGTACTATTGACCCCGTCCTGAAGGGGTTAATTTAAGTATTATTACTGGGGTCGAGGAGCTGCCTGACTCCCCTTACTCTAGAGCAGTGGTTCCCAACCCAGTCCTCAAGTACTTCCTAACAGTCCAGGATTCAGGGATTACCAAGTTGTATACAAGGTGTTTAAAAAAAAAAAAAAAAAACACTTTAGACACAACAGGGTAATCCCTAAATCCTGGACTGGTAGGGGGTACTTGAGGACTGGGTTGGGAAACCCTGCTCTACAGCATAGCATGTAGCATAGGGAATGCAGCAGAGGGCCACTACCAGAGGGCTGCCCACTAGTAGGAAGTGTGAGAAGTGACCGCAACCAGCTGTTCCTCACACTGCCACAGATTAGGGGAAGAAAAAGGGAGTACCAGCATAGGTGCCGAGATTAAGATTATATTGCAGGAGGTCCTAAAGGATTAAGGAAACTCCTACAGTAATTGTTAAAGCCCGGCAATGGTTGTCTCTGCGAAGGGGCTGGTCTGTACTTGCATGCCAGCTTATTAACACTGCAATACATCAGGAGGGAGAGAGCAGAGAGCTAAGAGCAAGATGGAGCTGGGGGTAAGAGAGGAATGGAGGTGAGAGAGGTAGTTAGAGCTGAGGGAAATTGTCTATTACTAGGATGTGAATGTGAAGTTGTTCTATTACATCCAATGATAGCAGGAATCCATGCGCAAAGACAAAACCTTCCCATTACAGCCCCCTGAGTACAGCCTGCAGTTGGTGCCAGATCCCCCATGGACCACAGGGAAGCTTCCCTCCTGGCAAATGGTTGGCAGAGAGTAGGGTGATTAAAATGTGTATGTCTGCATGGCAGTTTGTATGTGTGTCTATCCCCATGTGTGTGTCTGGAATGCATATATGTGTGAATATTTGTGGGTTGGTGGGTCTCAGCAACTGTGTTTGTAAGGGATGATAATTGTTATGATGGCACCCTGCAGTGTGGACTGAGAGCCGAAGGCAGCGGGTCAGAGTGAAATACTGGCACCCGCTGGCTGGAAACTGTTCCACATGCAGAGGGGAAGTAAGACACCAAGATTGCTGGCCAGTTTGTTTAATTATTGATTGTCAGTGTCAGTTGGGGCCTCAACTTTTGCCTAAGGCCTCCCAAAGTTTAGAGCTGCATTTGCTCCTATTTGGCACCTGTAGAATTAATCTGTTTGGTGTGTGCTATGCACTACGGTATTACTAGATAAGGAGTTTCAAATCTTCAGTTTGATAGTGAGCTTTCCATACTGTGTTTTGATGCACACGTGAAATAAAGCAGATTGGTCCTTCCAAAAATCAAGTACTACCAGGATCTCCATCATTGTAATAACTAGTAAGTAAAGGTAGAACTGTGTGTTGTTGTGAAACAAAAGGCAAATTCATTTAGAATGTGATGTTCAAACAAGAGTTTAGTCTTATCTTAGATAAAAATAAAAAACAATAACTAAAACCATGTTTAAACATAATAGTGTTGCATAGGTTTTCAGACTGTAGAGCTATGATTAGTGTGTTTAATATGGTTTAAAATTAAAATGTAAACAAATGGAAATTGCAGGAGCCATAAATGTATTGGGTGTCAGTTCTCTGAGTCAGAGGAGGGTTTTACAGTATCTTGATATATGACATTAGCATAAAACTGCCTTACGTTAATATGTTTTCCTATCTAGCATCAATATATTATATTATATTATTTATGTATGTATTTACTAAACAATGAATTGCATTGAATTAAAAATGTAATTAAAGAACAAACTGATAAACATTTTTAAACTGGAAAAATCTCCAACCTGACAATTATCACAGCTTGGCTATTTAAAGTGACACTCCGCTGCTAAATTAAAAAATAAAATAAAAATCACTGTTTTGCAGATATACCTCTGTAAAAAAAATGCATACATTTCATTGGTGGTATATCCAGAAAACAAATTGCAAAAGCAGCAGATCTCTTATATGAAGCCATTGCAATCTATTCTAACTCCGCCCAAACGTTCCGTGGCTGTCCAATCACAGCCTTTTCAGTGCAGCTCAATGTGAAGTCTTTTTGAAAGGTGGGTGCTCTTCGCTAATGCCTTTCTCATGAGTTTAGCACCACTGAGCTAAACTACCAGGAAATAACAGGACTGGTGTCTGGCAGCTGGGAGTGTAACATGGCTAATTTATCCAAGTGCCAATTTCTACTGAAATCTGCTAAAGTGCTTTAGAGGTCTGGAGAGTTTCCTTATTCCCACATTTTGTAATTCCATATACAATTCACTACACTCTAGAGTCTAAGAAATAAATCGCTTTGTGCATTTGGTCACAAAAAATAACAGCTCAGTTTAATAGAGCCAAACTTTTTTTCCTAACTGGTATAATTCTTCTGCAGTGCTAATTTGTTAAATGTTCACAATAAAAGTTAGTTAAATGTACAAGTGCTCAACAGAAAACCCTGGAAACAGTTCAGAATTTGGCCACCATCTTAAATGGCCACCACCTAGGGAAGCTCCTGAGACTTGGGGACGATTTCATTTAACAATTACTTTTTTTAAACTAAAATCAACTTTTTAAACTATATATATTAATTTAAGAAGTCCTGCTCAACATGCAGAAACAAAGAAACACAGAGAAAACTGTTCCTGCAGCAAAAAAAATCAACAAAACTACAGCGGGGGTGAGTAAAGGCATGCCAGCCCACTCACATTCCCCATCCCACTCTGCAGTTATGCGGCTTATTTCGCAGCAAAAATCTTCATTGGTGGCAGCAGAGAAACCATCACCCTCCTCCCATTCCCTCTCGCATACTTGCTCATATGCCAGTGCGGCCGCGACCCACTCGCAGCAATCTGAGAGCGGCGGGGTCGCGGCTGCAAATACCGCGATCACAGGGGGGGTCTGGCAACCACTCCAAGCATATGATCAGCTCGGAGCATGGGTATTCAGCTCCCGCGAGTAGAGCATGTAAAGCAGCCTGGTCCCTAGCATATAAAGGAAACCGGGCTGAGGATGAGGGGGCGAGTGGTCCCGATCCCTGTCGTGGTCCTCTGCCTCATAGCAGTTAGACTTGATGGGAGGGGCCTCTGCCATTCGTTCACCTCACACTTCAGATGTTAAAGGGGCAGCAGAGAGCTCTGTTGAAAATGAAATGGAGGAAGAAATTTACAATATGTCCCAAACTCCATTTCATCATAAGGTCAGCAACACTGCCACCACTAAGATGGATGACAGCACTGCCTCAGTTTCAGCCATAACCAAGATGGCCACCAATACAGCACATACCACCAATGTCACAACTAAAATGGCCACTGTTTCATCCAAGACGACTTCTACTGGATTCAAGACTATGACCTACAACCCTCATATGCCATTGGAAATGGCCGAGGATTTACCACCATCGGCTGGTGTGATTATCCAACTAATACAAGACTAATACTGCGTGTGGACTTAAAAAAATTACCTTAAAAAAGATTTCGATAACATGTATGGGATTTTGAAGAACATTGGTCAACGCACGGAGGACGTTGAACATGGAATGTCTACACAAGAACCTTCTCATTTAGAACTGGTAAAAACTGTAAAGGAGCTTCAAAAACAGGTTAACCAGCAGGCAGAACGAATAGCAGATTCTGAGGATAGGAGCAGGCGCAACAACGTTAGAATCAGGGGGATCCCTGACACTGTAGATACTTCAGAATTATTGCACTATTTCCAAACCATGGTCAAAACAATTCTACCAGAGGCTACTAATTTGGACTTATTAGTAGACCGCATCCATAGACTATCTAAATCTAACAAGGCACCTGCAGCGGCACCAAAGGACACAATAGCAAGACTCCACTTTTTCCACATAAAAGTAGTACTTTTGGGTACCATACGCACATCAGGTCTTCCTGACGAATACAAAAACATTAAGATCTTTCAGGACTTCTCAGCATACACAATGAGACGTCGCAGGGAATTCCAGCACCTTACAACTGAACTGAGGCAAAGAGGGATACGCTACAGATGGGGATTCCCTGTAAAAGTGCTTTTTAATATGGATGGTCGAAATTTCACGATTGCCACTCCTGAAGAAGGGACGGAATTCATCAACACTATCAACAGATGGCAGACTCAATCCCACGCTCTTTCACCGTCAATCCCACAGCATGCTCATAAGAAAAGCAAGGCAAATGATACTTGATCATTGCAGGTCTTGGCTTACAAGCTGCCAGATTTTTCTTCTTTATAACGTACTTGACCTACTTCCCATACTGTTAAAGAATTTGTTCTCATATTTCTAATTTCTCACTTTTTGCTTTACTACCCTGTGCCAACTGGGTCACATGACTTAATGATAATGTTTCTGCAAAATGGTATTACTTTTATCCTAACACTGGGATAGGTTAAGGCAGCACGAAACTCACTTTTGAATTTTCTCAGTACCACGTTAGTTTGCAGGAAATTTTTTCCTTTTGTTTATCCTGCCCTAATGACTATCTAATTCAGCAGAGATCCCAGGATTGGAAGGACTTGTTTTATTTTTTATTTTTTTCTTATAATTTTTTAATATTTTTTTTAAATTTAATGTACTATTTTAGCTTTGAGTGAAGCATACATTGGCCCCCAGGTCTCAGGTAGCCTTTCCTCCCACCAACCTGGGCCTAATACCTTGAGATGGAGACATATTTTTTATTCTCCCTCATAGCCCTATTTTTACATAAGGTTATTTTCTCTCCCCATATAGGGGAATTTACCCAAGTTTATCACCCCCCATTTTTTTTTTTTTATTTCATCCACTTTTTTATACACTAAACAATTTAAGAAGTTACCAGGTTCTGCTTTAAATGCTTTAGCCAACGCACTCTTGTTTAACCCCTTAAGGACATAGGACATACGATTGTTGGATCTCATCATTCTCCTCTTGGGACGCGGGCCTTCAGGCTCCCACATTTCCATACACTCTCCTTTTAATGGCCATGTACTCTGATTTGAGTCATGGTCATTAAACTCATGTCATTTAATGTGAGGGGCCTGAACACTGCTCACAAGAGGCGATTATTGTTCAAAGAAGTTAAATCCAACAAATCGGATATTGTATGTATTCAAGAGACTCATCTTAAGGAAGGAAAAGAGTACAAATTTATGACACTGTTATTCCCATCCCAATTTCATTGCACTTACAAGTCTAAGTCTAGAGGTACTTCTATCTTTTTTAGTACGAAGGTGGCCAGCTCTACATATAAGATACTGATGGATGATGACGGGAGATACATACTGTGGATTGGTAAAGCTAACAATGTTTTATAAACAATTGTCAATGTGTATTTCCCCAACACAGGTCAGGTAACTTTTTTTAGGAAAATAATAGGAAAATAATAGAATTGGTGAATGAGAACATGAAAGGGAATTTAGTGATGTGTGGAGATATGAACTTCATTATGGACGGCAACTTTGATAATGCAAGGGAAAATTTAGACACACCCCATACGAGAGACAGTGACAGACTAGGTGTGAAATGCTCGAAAGTATATGGTTGAATGCGGATTGTATAATCCATGGAGATTATTACATGAGAATGAGAGACACTTCACTTACTACTCCGTATCCAAGAACATGTATTTCAGGCTGGTCAGGTTCCTGATACAGGGCGCTCTCATATCACACATCTCAAGATCTGATATTTTAGAAATCAGTTGGTCTGACCATGCTCCCATAACTTTGCATATAGATGAAACGGTTTTTTTCCGCCCCCAACAGACACTGGAGACTGAGTGATTATTTGTTAGATGATCCTGAAAATAGATCGCTCGCTGAGGGGGTACTAAATGATTATTTTTTGAATAACGTTTCGCATGAGGTTTCTGGCGAGGTGACATGGAATGCGCACAAGGCTGTGATGAGGGGTCATTTCATTTCTAGGGCATCTAACTTGAAGAAGAACAATAATGGCAATTTAAGAAATGTGGAAAAAGAACTGTACAACTTAAATCAGGCTAATAAATTTGGCCCATCTTCTTCCCTATCAGCAATGATAGGGGAGATTAAATCAAAAATACATAAAATAAATATGGATAGGACTACTCTCATGGTGAGACGCCTCAAGAAATTGTTTTATTTAAAAGGTCACAAGACCTCAACTCTCCTGGCATCCAAACTCCGGCAGGTAAATGCCCAATCTAAAATTTCGTACTTAATAGATGACCAGGGACAAAAAATCTCACCCAGCCGTCTGAGGCGACTATTAATAATTTTTTAGACAGGGCTTCGCTGCCTCGGCTATCTTCTGACAATTTGGAAAAACTAGAGTGTGATATATCTGAAGTAGAGATAGCCGAGGCGATCAAGCTCATGTCGTCAGGAAAGGCTCCTGGACCTGATGGATTTACCATTTTATAATATAAGACCTTTGCAGAAACTTTAATTCCCCATATGTCCAAATTATTTAACTACTGTAAGTCCGGGGGGGAAGATGCCGGGAGAGTCTTTGTCCGCACAGATTGTCACATTGCCAAAACCAGGTAAAACTCCTGATAGATGCTCTAATTTTAGGCCCATATCCATTATCAACAACAACATAAAAATTTAAGATACTAGCGAATCGCTTAACTAGTTTAATACCCTTACTGATTAAGAATAACCAGGTTGGATTCATCCAGGGAAGACACGCACCTGACGGAACGTGACGGTTCATAAACTTGATTCAGCATATCAATTCAACAAAAACTCCTTCTCTGCTTCTTTCATTGGATGCAGAGAAGGCATTCGACAGGGTACACTGGGGATATCTATGGAAGACATTGAGTAGATTTGATATTCTGCAATCTTTTATCACTGTGATTAAGGCACTATACTGCGCACCCACAGCTCACGTATCGGCCTCGGGTTTACAATCAAGAACGTTTTCTCTAACTAATGGGACGAGTCAAGGTTGTCCCTTATATCTGATTCTCTTTGTTCTTGTGATGGAACCCCTGGCCGAATTGATTAGGATGACCCCAGAAATAGCAGGTATTCACATTAAGGGATCCACCCACAAAATAGGGTTATTTGCAGATGATGTCATACTAGCACTCAAAAATCCAAAAGAATCTCTGGAATCTCTCAACACTATTCTTCTCCAGTTTGGAGAAGTGTCATATTATAAATTAAATATCTCTAAGACCCAGGCCCTGCCTTTTCATTTGCAAAAGTCTGACATGGATGAATAAAAATTAACCTATCCATTCGATTGGAGGAAGGATTACCTGAAATATTTAGGTATTAACTTATGCAAACATTTACCTAATATGCATATTCATAACTTGAAGAGAGCATGGCCAGACCTACAAAGGGAGATGGAGAGATGGGGTGGCATGGAATTATCGTGGTTAGGAAGAATTGCCTCCATAAAAATGTCCATCCTACCAAAAATCCTGTATTATTTCAGAACTATCCCTTTATCTGTTCCGATGTCCTTTTTTAACAAAGTTTTTTCAATAATGCTTACATTTTTCTGGAACAATAAACTAGAATTAAGCTTACATCCCTGCAGCACCCAAAAAATCCACGGGGGCATTGGTGTCCCAAATTTCAGGAAATACTACTTTGCTACTAATGCTGCAGTGGTTGTAAGCTTTAATAGCCATAAAAACAGGCCGAGATGGATGGAGATGGAGGGATCCAGCATTCTCCCTAATCAACTCGGGGAACTAACCTGGCTAAGCCCTGTAAGGACACCTGGCATATCTAAAATGTTTCTGACTACTAAGACCACACTCAAAGATTGGGATATAGTATTCAAAAACAACTGTCACTTGATAAAACTTTACAGAGCCATGCCAATTGAATCTTTAAAATATCACATCCCAACCTTAGACTTAACATTGCTTAAAAGGACACCAACTGCATCATATAGACAACTTTTTACATGGAAACTCTATTCTGTTTTATGAAAGACTAAAATTTAAGCATAGTCTGCCAATCGAATGCAAGGTTGATTGTGAGTTAGTGATTGAGAAATTGAAAGAAATATACAAAATTCCAGAATTCGATAAACATTACGAAGCACTGGCTATATCTCCATTAGAAAAGCTATTTTTAAATGACGCAAATAGGAAAGGCATTATATCTATCTGCTATATGTTACACAACGATAAACCAACAACCAAACTGAAACATATGTTATCTTGGGAGACGGAGCTGGGTACCCAATATAAGTTGGAATAATTGTTCAATGAAGGGTTTATATTTCTGCTCCAATCATCACAAAAATCATTTTAAAAATTCTATATAGATGGCATCTAACTCCGTCCAGACTGCACAATATGAATAATAGGTACAGCGATAGGTGTTGGAGAGACTGCGGAGGATTGGGCAATATGGCCCACATATGGTGGTATTGCCCAAGACTAAACTAAATACTGGAAAATGATACATTACTTAATTGTTAAAGTGAACAGGAACATAGAC